GCATAAACAAAACAAAACACAAAAAAAACCCCAAAGCCAAAGTAAAAGTCCTTGCTATACTTTAACTGGATTGTGACATTTACCAGAAATTAAAGAAATGGATTCTGCTTGGCAGTAATAAAAACTGGAAGAGGTGCCCTATAAGATTGCATTAACAAAACTGTAAGAGAAAATTCACTGCATAGARATTCAAATATCCTCGATAAACACCTGTAACAGCAGACCACAGTGTAAGGAAGGCATGAGCCTTGATCCACCACTCTGAACTTGTCAATCACTATCTGCTTCCTATATTATATAGAGTAATTGATCTTTTTATCTCCATGGAGAACACAGGATCTAGGAAGCACTCTATGTTTCCTTTGATCAACCCAAGAAACAGAGGCTCCACCGTGACTGAMCCGTCCTTTTAGATGGTTTGGTTACTCATCTTTTTACAGAAAATTTAAATTAACACTTTTCATAAAGATATAAAYTACTTTTTTTTTTTGAGGAAGAAGATGTCAATTTGGTCTACATCCTGAAGACTTTCAGAAATTTTAAGGGTTTGCTCTGTTTATGAAAGTAAGGCTTCAGGGATTTCTGCAGGGTATCTTCAGCAATTTCAAAAACATTAGTTTTTCATTTGCAGATTTTTGRCCCTTAATGTGACCCAGCAAATTTTGCCTAGCTTAATCTTTAARGATTCAGACTACTCTCCACATTTAGAAGCTATGTACTTTTTGTAATTTTGCATAGAATCACAGSCTGAATTGTGTTGGAAGGGATGTTAAAAGCTCATCATGTTACAACCCTGTGCCATGGGCAGGGACATCTTCCACTAGAACAGGTTACTCCAAGCCCCATCCAACCTGGCCGTGCACTCTRCCAAGGATGGGGCAACTGCAGCCTCTGTGGGCAACCTCACAGGGAAGAATATCCCATCTAATCCTGCCCTCTGGCAGTGGGAAGTCATTTCCCCTTATCCTGTGACTCCAGTCCCTTGCCCAAACTGCCTCTCCAACTCTCTTGGAGTCCCTTTAGGTTCCTACAGAACAAAAACATCCCAAAAGCACGGGCATCCTTTTGTACAAGTACTTTGTGAGGCGGTAATTACGCGCCGCCCCTCTGACAGTCCATTTAACCCTACAATGTTTCACTCCTTGGAAGTAAACTCTTATGGCACCCTCCAGGAGAGGTATAGAGGTGCAGCAAGCAGATGGAAAGTATCATTAAATACCAAGTGGCCATGAGATCTGAAACACCTGGTGAAGTATGGTACAATCTGCCTTAAACAGGAAAAGAGGGGATCATGAACRTTTCAATGGCAGCAGCTGGGAAGAAGCCGTGAATACAGTTCCCATCCCAATGGCTGGTTCTAGCTCCCTTTCAGCTACTGCTGGGAAAAATATTCCCTTTTACAGAAATTCAGGCTCAATGTCCAGAGCCCTTGCTCTGTGCACCTGTCAGATTAGTGATAACATTCTTGTTTTGTGTTAACACCACCTTCTGTCTCCAGTCATGAGAGGAACCCAAGGTTTGAACACTCCCATGCCCTTTTATACAGCACTACTYTAACACTTCACATGTTATAACACCTCAACATGAGTTTCTCAATTGCTTTCACTCTGAAGAAGAGAAGGATAGGCCAACAAAACAGAACTCACACYGGGCCCAGAAATTCAAAGACCTGCTAAACCGAAGGCAAGGATGTGTAGCTAGGATTAAGCAGAAAGCCACAGCTTCCTTCACAATACATGTTAAAACCTCTAAATCCCTGATGTTTCACCATCACCTCTTTCACTGGAAGCTGGCTCTAGTCCCGGTATTTTTCCCTAGAAAGCTAATGTAAGTGAAATGGTTATCCAGAATTTGAAACAGCTCTGGACTGTCTCAACAGGAGTTAACTCTTGACAAGGTAATGAAAAGACATCAAACCTGGAAAGCAGAGGAGATGCAGGCATTACAACAATTCCAACTTCCATCCTATTAATGTCTTGAAGTCACATACAGTACCCATCTTTGGTACAACTTTTCACATTACATAATTTGAAAGATATTTTGTCTTTATTATGTTTAGTGATGTAAATGGCTGATTAAATAGATTTCATCAAGTAATCAAAATAGAACCACCTTTTTGTTTCCACTGTGCAGAATTATCATCTGCCCCCAGGGAAATAAAGAGCTTGAAGAATACTATTTCATATTAAACTACTGAAGATAACAAACAATTCCAGAAACATGCTGTGTCTTGATAGTTTATGAAATAATTTAAAGCATCCAAGCTTTTTCTTTGCCCCTATATGCATAAAGCTTCCTATTGGTTCAGCACCATGTCCTGCAGAAACCTGAGCTATACAAGTTTTTAGTAGTGTCTCTACCTGAAGCTGATCTGCTGTGAAGCTGGTCCGAGCTCTTTTTGCTGGTTTTGGATGATTAATATCTTGTTCTGTTAATAATGCTCCTTCCACGTTAACCCCATTACCTGAAACATTAAAAAGAAAACAATACTGCCTTCTAAACATTCACAGGGATGTTATAAGTCAGACTGTTAACTAACAATAACCATCAGCACTTGGTCAGCTGAATTTCAGCTTTAAAAAGCCACATTCTAGTCAACATTAAATTGATGTAGCACCATTACACATTATACCCTAAACAAGTGAGGGAAGAAATAAGTCTATTTTAGCAGCAAGACATGCTGTTGCTTTCTTTTCTTTAGGATACAAAACAAGTTACACAAACTACAAAAAAAAACCCAAACAAAAACAAAACAAAACAAAAAAAAAAACAACCCAAAAAACCCCAAAAAACCCCAACAACAAACAAGCCATACATGATTTTAATTCAAGAACCTGTGCTTCCAGTCTTAGTAAAGCCAGTCAATTATCTCTTAGTAAGGAAAATGAAGTAAACCCCAACAATTTAATTGAATTTGAACCACATAGTTCTTAACAAAAGCAGTATGTTACCATTTTCAACTTCTCTTTTCAGATTGTCCAACATGCAGTCATAATGCACTCTACAAAGGACTTTCTCTTCMACCAAAGCGAACTCCTCTCCAGTTGAAAGCTGTCTTTTGCAGGAAAAGCACGCAAAGCAAGCCAGGTGGTAGACATTTCCTTTAGCCCTTCGGACCCAGTCGGTGGAGTGGATGTGCCTCCCGCAGCGGGAGCAGCGAGTGCCGTAGCGCCTGCAAGGACAGCGGAACAACAAGGGCTCAATTTGGSTCAATTTGGGCACCGGCTGGGCCAAGGCAAAGCTCCCGCACCGTTACAGATGACCAGGCTGCGGTAGAGCAGCTGAGATCCACAGCATGATTGCCTTTGCATTGCAAAAAAAAAAAAAAAAACATGATTGCCTTTGCATTGCAAAAAAAAAAAAAAAAAAAAAAAAAAAAAAAAAAATCAGCAAGTTTGCCTCTGTAGCTTAAGGCAAGACTCTTCAGAGATACAGGTTAGTATTTTCATAAGGCAAAGAGTAAAATTGAAGTATTTTAACTACATGAGTTCACAGCTTCTCATCATTCCTTTTATAAAGATAATTACTCTTTTAAAAAGCTGAAAAATGGAAACAGTATGTATTTCACTTTAATTGTAACCTGAACTACTATATTTAGCTATTTAGCACCATTCACTAATCCTTCAGCATCTTCAGCAGATGGAGGGGAGGAACCTGTATCTTCATAGTTTTCTCAATTCACATCACATTATGATTCTTAAATAAACTAAAAAATTTGCAATTATTTACACTATTACAGTAGAATATTTCTCTTCCTCTTAGAAGAGGAAACTAGCCACCACAATATGTTGATTATTTAGGTAAGAATTTGTCCTGAAAATCTTTGCAGACAGACCCAAGTTTTATCAGGTCCCACGAAATTTAGCTTTTGCAGAAGTTTACTCTGTATCACACTTGACTAGCTGGAAGCAATCTACTCACTGCACAGGTGAGAATCCCAGAAATAGCTTGGTCTAGCAATCAAACTAGAGAAGTACTAGCAAGCACATCAAAATTAACAGAAACTATTTTTGCTACTTTTTGGATCAAAGACTTTTAATCCTGAATACCATATTACCAACACAAATAAATAATATTCTTCCTTGCAGAATTAACCTGTAATCTTGAAAAATTACATTCTAAAACAAATTGTTCACATAAAGATATAATCACTGAAAGCTGATTTTAAATATCATGGTATTTATTCTGGGTTGATGTTACAGCTGCTTGTGATGCCTGAAGCCCCACACCAGTGAAGCGCTGCTCCAAACAGCTCATCTCAATTTTACRTTGCCTTGTCAGACAGCATTACCCGTGTGATTCTTTGCACATATGATAGTTTTACACCCCTACTGTGGCAGGGACTCTGAGCTTTCGGAGTGTGCACAAGTAAGCGATGATGTGAATACAGCAGCTGTGCACAAAAGGGGAGGGCAGAGGGSACACTTAGCAGGCAGTTACAGTACACAGACTTAGGGTTCGTTCCCCAAGTCCCTCCCCAAGAAAAGACAGGGTTTAAACTAATGAAAATAAATYCAGCAAATGAAAAGGAAAAAGCTTCAAGTGAATTTCAGTAGTGGCTGAAGTGAAAAGCAACGAGCAAGTGTAACAAGTTATCTGATAAATTGTATTCCTGGATGATATACCTGAAATAATCAAGTTTGCAGAAGATATCTTTATCTTTGATGTAGCAGCTGGTGTGCCTTCCCAGGGAGGTTCTGCACACGCTGCACGAGAGGCAGCGCACATGCCAGCAAAGGTCATTTACCTGCAAAAACCCAGCAGAAAAATACCCCTCAATGCTTGTACTACCAATATTACATTTTATATTTACAAACCCTGTTG